GCAAAAGGCTGGATTAAAGCGCTGATTTGTAATTTTAGCGATCCGCTTCCATAAATTATGCGACAACGCGATGCTCGCAGCTAATAAAAAATATTTCATAATCATGAAATAAATTATTCCTTTCGATAGAAACTCCACGTTCCTCGCTGTTGTTATACAGTTTCCTCAGTGTTTCGAGACTTTTCAAAAATATGAGACTTTAAATTTTATAAGATATGGAATACAAGATTACGTATATACAAGTATTGAAATGAAGAAAGCACTACTCCGACAATATCGCGGTGACATCTCTCGTGCTTTCAAAAACATATTGCTTGAAATCACTCGCTCGGTCCAGACGTCATGACAGACGGCGAGAAAATAGTGGGCGATACTTTGTACGCGAGACAGAAGGTCGCGAGAGGAAAAAACAGCGGAGCGAGGGAAAGGGACGACTGAAGAAGAAGAGAGGGAATCGCGAGGACAAAATATACGGCGCGACGAGCCGCGCCGTGGTACAGCACAGTCTCTCTCGCCGGACAACCGACAGTTAGAAGAACGGGGTGGCTGTCGAGGAGGGTAGTACCTGCCTACTACTCGCACCCTCGCCCGGCGCTATAGTAACAACACGGGGAAACATAGGGAAATCAATATGGCTTCCGTTGCCCTCATCCCTCTCGCGCGCGGCTCTCGCAGACGCTGTCTCTCGCTCTCGTCCGATTCTCTCGCTCCTCTCTCGCTACCATGGAATTACATCTCTCCCTCGGTCTCCCTCACTTCACCCGTCTCTATTTATCCTCCTCTTTCTCTCTCTCTTTCTTTCTCTTTCTCTCTCCTTCTAGCTTCCTCTCTTTCTCTCTAGCACTCGACGCGGACGGGTGAACCCATTATAAGGGGGTGTTACTCCGGGCCAATCCCCAACCATCCGGAGAGAGAAACCAGAGAGGCGAGAGTCCAAGAAGGGCGCATGTGCGTTGCTAGGGCCACCGGATGGGTCGCGCGATGCGATGCGATGCGATCCGACGCTACGCGATGCGATGCGATGCGATGCGATGCCGCGCGTAACGTCCGCCTGGTATATACATATACCTATATGTATATGTATATATATATGCATATATTTGTATATAATATATATACATATGTATATATGTATATATATCAGATACTTGATAACGTAAAAATATGACAACGCAAGAAACAAATACAGTATATAATTTGCACTCTGTAGCTGAATACATACATAATGAACGATGATTTTTTTCCAGATATGTAAAGCTGCGAAATATATATCTTTAACGAATAGTTGAATAAATGTTATATATTTTCTTTGTATTGTTTTAATATCGTCATAATTATATATGTATATTTAAATGATTTTATATAATTTTACAATTAACTCATTAAATCATTAAGAAATCTTAAGAAATCATGCAATATGAAGTTTCAGAAAATAAAATATACTGTAAAAATATGATAGCGTGTCGTGTAAACTATATAGTATTATTACTAAAGATTATTAGCTTAAAGTTCTTTTTATATAATGTATGACATATACATAAAATAAGACAAATAAAAAGATCCTAATTACATAAATATATATGTAATTTAAATATTTGTATTTATCGATATAAAATTTCAAAAAGCAATTCTACTTCTATGATCTATCAATCCTTTTTATAAAAAGACCTTGAACTCTTTTCATGAAAGGGTTCAATGTATCAAGAAGGGCTCTCTGGTGGCAAATCACGATATTCGAAATCAGAATGTCGGTAACACAGAATTCTGATGTACAAAAGATATACTCTTCTACAAGCATGTACCAAAAGTTCTATAATAATGCCACATAGTTTAGCATTTATATTTTATATTTTTTTAATTATAAATATTAAATATTATTATACTTAATATTTTCTAAGGCATCTATAGATGTACATACATAGCATACAAAGAGTTAATAATGCAGAAAATATATATATTTTATTTCTATATGCATTATAAAAATTAATATTATTAATATTATTAAATTGTATATATGTATATATATTTATTGATACCATTATTAATTCATCATCATCATTTCATTTCTCTTTAAAAACTATTTTAAACCGTTTTTATATAAATAAATTAAGATATAAAACAAAAAAAGACTTTCATTTTATATTTGAGTGCAAAATGATGGTCTAGATTGCTACTACAGTTCGCAAGAAATCCCAACTGATTTCAAGCAGTCCATTCTTAAACTCTTTCAACTAAGTCACGTTCGCTATGAATCCCATGAACACTCAGTCAATTCAGATCCGCACGCAAGGATCGCAGTAGAAGTTTAAACATCCCGATAATCTTCTTCGCTAATAGCTGACGTCTTATGTTATTACAGTTCGATGAAGGCGTGCGCGGTTAGTCGGCGCAGAACATATTCGGATTGGGCCCATTCTATATTTCCGAGGAACATCCTCCGCCGCTATCATTTAAACACTTTCTTCTGATGAGTGAAATGCAATTTTGCGTCAGCTTCATCCTAGCATACTCGTACGGGAGAGTAAACGTTTCTAGCTTCAATTAGAAGAGCTCCACTCTATTCCAAGGGAATTCTAACAAGGATATCCGGGAAGGTTTTTAATGGTTCGTCAAAGGCTTAGGTTTCGTATCTTGAGAGTCTACGTCGTGAGAATACTTTCCTTCCCGTTGATTTTATAAGTTCTTAGTCCCCTTTTTTTCCGATGCAGCAACACCACTATCATACTAGGGGATTATGATTGGATGATTCTTGCTCCCTCCTCTTTTAGAGATGGCAATCCAATATACCAGATAAACCAACGTACGATTTCATCTTCCAATCATCGATGGTTCTTCTTCTTCCTGAGAGCCGTTTTGGGAATTTTTGTGATTATTTTATTCCCTATATTTGACTCTATATATATAATATACATATAATACACACACACATATACGGATATCCTTTGTGGTGCATAATTTTAGTCATTTCTTGTTAGGAAGATCACGAAGAAGGAAAGCCCTGTAAGGATCACCCTCATATCCCCTTTCCACCTTCTTGTCCGCAATGAATTTGTGTGGTGTGTAGATTAGTCTTCTGAAATCTCACCGCACAAATCAAATCCACTCCTCCTACCGTCCATAGCCTTCGTCTCTTCTAGCAATGATTGCTATTTACAGGTGAACATTGCATGTGACGATAGATGAAAGAGAAAGGGAGCAGGTAAATTGTCTTTATATACATTAATAACTTAAACAGTTTAATAAGAACTAAACTTTCGCAGCGATGTCCTAGGCGATCTGTCCATATGTCGCAGGATAAGCCTTGAAGAGCATCCACGATGTGGAACCAATGGGAACGAGGTGTAGCTGAAAGAATAGAATGGAAATTTTCCGCCAATTTTGGACAACGAATCCGTATTGTACTGCCTCGGAGATATACACGGTCCTGTCGTTCATCGACGATCCCTGAGTAGCGTCAGACCACCTGACTCAGATGTATTTTCATACACCTTATATAGAAAACGATGTTTAAACAAGTGCTTGCGAGAAAGTTCAGTCCAGTGTACGGAAGCGTGTTATATCGAATATAGCTTTATAGTCTGCTTTGCGTCAAAAGATGAAGTAAAATGTAACGTCAGAAGAAAGTTTATATGCAAATTATGCATCAGAGTGATGAAATTATAATAGAAATTGAAAATTAAATGATAGGAGCTCAATACAATAATATCCTAGCGGTATCTCTTGCAAATAAATTTACAAAATGAAGGACTGACATGAAGGACTCACGGTTACCCTGAGAATTGTTTACCGGCATCATATCATATGGTAAAAAGTATCAGTTACTACATTCGAATAAAAAAATTTGATATCAAAACGGATATTATTGCAAAAATTGAATATCAATTTAATTTTCTCTCACTATTCCAGCTTCAGTTTGCGATTGCGTTGCAAGCCCGATATTAATTCGGCGCAGTTTAAAGTAGCTGAATAATGATAATGGATTTAGAATTCATATAGAAAAATAATTATTAATTAGCGCCAAAATACAGCCTCGATCGTAGAAGACGTTTTTAAAACTTGCTTGTGATATTCACTTACGCGATCTATTTCAGCTTACTATTATTTATAAGTTATTATTACAAGTTGTTATTATTGCAAGTATATAAAATTATTTTGTAAATATAATTACTAATAGTAATTATTATATGTGGGAAAGATGAATACGAGAAAATGATTGCAGTCGGCAAAGCAGACTTCGTCGGTAGATCAAGATGCTAGCATCCTTACTGAAGAGAGGAATGTTGCATGTACCATAGGTTGTATGTATACCCATATAGCGAACTGCTGATACCAATGGAGAATGGCCTTACCATCCTCGTCGGTAAAGGAGATTTCTCAGGTTGTCATGGACTAGTGCACCATGGTCAGAAGCATAAGAGACCTACGGTCTTCCAAGAAGGCAGAAGAGAGCTTGAAACGCGCCTAAAACTTCCACTGATCCTCTTATATATCCCACTTTAACGATTTTATATCAAAGAAACTTGAATTAACTCTCTATTAATATTTTTCTAATTTAATTAATTTTTAATTGAAACTTCAAATTTTTCAAACAAATTATAAATGTATAAATGATAAAATAAATTATAAAACAAAATTTATCTCATTAATTCATTTAAAATCTCTCTTTTAAAAAAGTTATTTGCTATATCGCTTTTATAATATTTAACATTAAATGCTTTTACTAATAAAATAAACGACACAGCATGATTGGATTAATGCTTCTCACTCGTGATACGAAACCTCAGAAGGTCGTGTTTATCATCACAGTGCTCATACGAAAAGATTGTATATACAGATATTCACCTGTGTGGTAGGATATACAAGCAGGACACTTTCAGTTGTCAGTTGACGTCGTAACAGTTCACAACGGATTAAAGCGGTTCTATTACTTTTATTGTAATTCAGGTAATATCAACGCGAAAGTGAAATCTTGTTGCAAGAAATAGTAGAACACACTCGATTTTTTAACGGTGTGCGCGTATTTTCACAAAAAAATTAAAAATCGTAATAATTTTTTTTCGAACAAAACAATTTTCCTCGAATAATCATTTACAGGTAGCGTGGATTCTAAGATTATATTCTCCCGTTAATATACCTATGTTATCTCTGACAAAAAATGCCGTGCAAGTGTTTCCCACGCGATTTAAACAAGAAATCCTGTAAACTTGCCAAGTGTACGTAATAGGTTGAGAATTCCTTGATTTCAATATAGTTATATACACGTCCGTTTTTTCTCTCTCTATTTTAGACAATTCAAACGGTATACATGCAAAGTGTGAGCAAAAAATGTGTAGAACCTCGATGTTCAGGGGTCGCTTTAACTGTAAAGATCAGTCTTCTGTTCTTGTAAATATCACACGTCTGTTCTAATTATGATATTGTCATGACAGTGGATTTCGATTGAAAGATTTGCTAAGAAGAGATACACCGAGGACAACGCTAAGCAAAATGGCATTGACGTTAGCGCTACCGTTATTCGGTCTAGACCCGGAGCATTTTTCCACGCTGAGCATGAAGCTTCTTAATATTGAGCGCGACCAAAACTTGAGGAATTTATCTGATTCTGGGCGGACTTCTCCAAGTACCGGAAGTGAATCTAGCGGCATCAGCAGTCTCGCAACGTCCGCCGAATCGGCGTCGGTTGAATTAACGCCGATTTCATCAAGACCAGAGACACCCACTAGAGCACCATCTCAGAGCAAGAGTCAAGAGAAGGTAATGTTTACGTTACGAGCCTTGGCAAAAATAATTCAGAACTCATAAAAAGAAACTGTAAGAATGCGGACCACATCGAGAGAAAAAAAGAGAGAAAAACAGTGTAGGGGAAAGAGAGAAAGAGACAGAGAGAAATATAAAAAAAACTATTTTTTCACAACTATTTGTTTAGTGAAAAAACATATTTATTGGCTTTTATGGAATTATTATCGGCATATGAAAGTCTTTTAATAAAAAGATAATTTTATAGATATATAACATTATGTTTATAATCTTAGCATAGTATGAAACATAAATATGCATTTTTTATGCAAAATAAAAATACAGAAATATTTCCTTTCAGACTATACCACCTGTACGTGTAGTGTACGAAGGCCGCGATATACTGAATTTGGGAGCGAACATTAGGCCGTCGTTCGACTGGCAAATGAAAGATCGAACATTTTCCCGACACAACATTCAAGATTTTATAACTAATCGTCTGGTGTATCATCGACTACGCGAGCAGCCGCTAACCAAGGAAAATTTAACGGTACGTAACATCTTCTAATAAAAAATCACGATAATATTTTGTAGTTTGTGCTGGAATAAAGGTACCCGATATAATTAATTTTTAAAACAACATCAACTATAATGTATAATTTATATATAATTAATAAATTTTAATATATTGAATTTAACACAGCTCTGTCACAGTTCTGATGATTGAAATCGTATCTTGCAGAAACGTTGCAACGAATGTGAATTTTGCGAGCCATCGTCCACCTTTTGATATCGACTTAACCGTAACGAAACGATTAACGACAGCCAATGTCCAGCGTCCAACGTCATGGACAACTCAACTGTGATAGAGCGGATAAGCGGCAGCCGGATGGAGACGTATCGTTTATCGAGGAACGTGTGGAGATACTAATCTAATATCTAAGTTGGGACCCCGAAATGTAATCTAAAACGTGAATATTGAAATACTTGTAATATTCGCGTAAAATTTATCGCGTTTAATTTATTATTGATGAATTTATCTAGGAAAAGATATCTAGAATCTGGATTTTGTAAGAGGTATACGTTCCCTTGCCGGATACGGGCTGCAATAGTCATTAGTTCTCCAGTTATGATATCGTAAGATGTGGTTAAATTACAGCTAATAAGTTGATTATCAGCTAATTTCAATAAGTTCGAAATAAAAAAAATAAAAATAATCGAGAGTCATTTAATTTCTAAATCTTAGACACCATAGAGACTATGTATGAGTTTACAATTTTTTGTGGTACGGTACGAAATTAACTCTCACTGCTAATGTTAATGTACCTCATCTTGCGATATCTTGTCCTATTTTCTATATTTAACTATAGCGCATATACTGATGTACTTCAGACAAATAACGATGTCGCGGGTAAGAATGTCAGCGCTTTACAAAACTGTCCGAAATATCGTGTGACTGTCATGGAACGATCAAACAATATCGGATTTTTTTTACAAACGATATGACACACGATCTATAACAGATTAAATGTTTAACTAGAAAAAAGGCCGCAAGTTTACAACTCGCAGTCATTATATATTTTTGAAAAGTTGCATGTCGCCTAAAAACTTTTCTTTATGTATTCGCTTTACACAAATTTACTAATTTAAAGATATATCATTATCTCTTATTCTCAAGATTGTCATTATCATAGACGATCGTGTATCATTTAATTTCTTTTTGCTATAAACAAATGCCGTTGTGCTTCGTACAGCATCGTTATCGAAAGACGTACCGATAGATGTATCGTGTTTTCAGGTAGTATCATGAACGATCGGCAAATTCTTAAAACAGCCGAAAATCAGTCCTTACATTTTTGCGGTAAATGTAGTACCTGCTCGTAGGATATAAATACGTATTTCTACGAAGGCATTGCATATATATCTTGACCATTGTTTATAAATACATGATAAACAATATTTTATATACTGAATGTTGCGTCATTAATTATACTTTTACATCATAAATAAAAGAATATTATAAAACATACGCGAGGAATATGGAAATAACTCAGGTATATATGTAGCCTGCCCTCTCTGTTACATCTTATACATTCAGCTTCTGTAAAAAGAGAGGGAAACAACTCTATAGCCCAAAGTTAAGAATTTCGCACGACAATATCGGTGTTGTGCAACATCATTGAACCTCCTAAGAAACGATACTTGATTCTTGAGCCAGAGCGAAGATGAACACTCGGCTCGAATTAGCACGTAAATTCGCGCGAAAGGCATTATAGTGCCGTTTCATGAGCCGCACAAGGGGGTTGATCGCTCGGACCCTCGTGCTTCTGCATTGTTTCAGCTCGAGCGTAACACCCGGCGTGGCGCTGTGTGGCCAGTTCGATCCACAATCCCGCCCGAAACACTCACACCCCTATAACGAGAGGAGACCACACTCGCGAGACTCGCGGTCGCACAACACGCGTCCATTTCTCCGATCCTCACCGACGCGATGCATACGCGTATACACGGATCCAAAAAAATGGACAAATTACTAAAAAGAAAGAGAGATATTTTACCGAAGAAGAAAATTATATAAAAATAACAATCTCTCACATTTAACAGTATTTCTTCCCCAATCTTTCTGCGATCCACGAGATTATTTTAGACATGGGCCCATTTATGTGTCCATTATTTATTATAATATAATTACAAATTAAATGCTAATACCATATTAAATCGCTTCTCATTTAATGATTAAAAGAATAATGTTTCTTGTCCGCCGATTTTTCACCTTTGGGCCTCGATATTTGCTAAATCCACCACTGGTATGTGCATTTATATCGCTTGCATGTATTCCGCGGGGTGTGCGGGAACCTTTCAGGCTGCACGCGTGCGTGTACATCGGTGTACGCGCGCGCGTGAAAGCGCCCCGTCCGTGCGTGCACGCGCGGATGCGTGGGTGCGTGCAACGCGCGAGAGATGCGCAGGACGACTATTCAGATATTGTTGTTATTGTTGAGGGAACAATCGCCCGTCAATAGGCCGCCTCGGCACAATGTATCTATTCAGGTGCGGTCAGCGGTGCTCAATCGATCAGGATCCACCCTTTGCGAGTGTCGAAAAAGCACCGCGGGGACCGGCGAAAGATCGTCGTCGCTTTCGCGATACGCTTCGCGATATACTTCACACGGAATCCCACTCTTATTAACTTGAGTCTATCTACGCATGAAAAAAAGTAGGTGCGCTTATTTTCTTCATGCTTCAGGAAAGCAAATATTCTAAGTGGCTCGAGCGTTTCTGTTTACAAAATATTTCTTGTAATATAAAATATGTTTAATATCTTGACACATTTATAAGGAGCAAAATAAATTTGTCAAATTAATTTAAATTTTATTGAGAGATGGTTAGTGATTAGTTCATTGACTCTCAGCGAGAATTGTATAAGTCGACACATATTCTTCTGTGTGTAGACTGTATTCATATTTTTGTAATAATTTTTTTTATTATTGTAAAAATCAATGTTTTATCTTTGAATGATTTAATAGTTACTGCTATCTCAGAATATGTGAGCTCAATAATTGAGTTGAGAGAGTATGTATGTAACGTGCGATTAGCCTGGCGTGAGATCACTAAAAACACTCGGAATACTCCCGATCACGATGAATTGGTATCGAAGCGTGAAATGAATTCCAGCCTATGATGAATAATGTCGGCATTTGAGATCATATCGTGGACGTCTAAATGTTATTGAACAATATCTACTAACATTGATCCTGCTCAACTGAATTTCTTACACATATTACATTTTCTTTCATATAGACAGACATTTTTCATCGTAATATAGATAATTTTAATTTTCATATATTAAAAGTCACGCACAATACACACGTTCCTTAAAGATCAAGTACTCTAAAAGTAGATCTTAAGCTATAATTATCGATTGTACCCTCACTTGCGCCGATCATTTATCGCGATGATCGTCGCTTAAATTTATCACATGAATGGAAAACGAATTAGACGAACGAAGGTGAATCACCTATGGCTCTCAACTATTATTCAATAAGCTAGAGTTTGAGCCGACAAACGGACCGTCTTGTCATGGTAATATTTTATCGGCTGGAGGGCATCGAAGACCCCCTTAAAAGGAGTCCAGCCGGAGAAAAAGAGAGGCTGCGGGTGAGAGCCACTGCCGCGAGCGAGGGTACCAGAGTTCCGCGGCTATAGCGATGATTACGTATGCGGGAATCATTGTCGAGTAACGCGCGATGCACATGCAAAGGCCAAAAATCGTCGAAATCAGTCGAGTTCAACATCAGCATTGTACCTGGGCTTTGTCTCTGCCTCATTGTTGTTGGTCGGTACTCTCTTCCCCCTCCCCCCCTCTCTCTCTCTTTCTCTCTCTCGCGATGTACAACCTATGCGTACGACTGCTATCCCAGGATAGCTTCCATAGCAGCCACGCGACCAGGATCATTCGCTAGTAATGTCTATTCCGCGGACAGGGTCGGTTTAACCTTTTCGCCGCTAAAGACACATATACGCATGCCATTGAAAAGAGCAACGATATAAAAATTCGATATTCTTCAACAAGCTCTAAATTGATATTTCGAACTTATAAGAGGTAATATCAAAATAGTTAAATAAATTAATTAGAACTAATATTAAATTTAATTATCTTCTTAAAAGTTTTTCTTTTGTGTCTCCTAAAATGAGGAAAATGATTTACAGCATTCTGCATTTTGCCGAACGCTAAATAATTCTGCTATACTGAGAATATGTATCTCCTTTGAAATACAATATCAAGTAAAGCTGAAGTTGTATCATAAGTTATTCATCGGTCCTGAGCGATTTTCGCACGGTGTTTCGCGTTTCTAATTCACTCGCATCGCGATCCGATCCTACGCAACCGGCGCGTGATCGAAATAAAGGAGAAAGGATCCACACGGCGAATCCGTGTCTGTCTTTTTCCTCTGTGCATAATACAGGTGCAGGACAGATAGGACAAGATCTCCGCGATGATATTGGAACGAGAACGAGCGAGCGAGAGGGGTAACACCACCAGCAGAGCAAGGCGAATCCGGCAGAGGAGGGGAGGGGGAGTTGAGAGCAGAAAGAGAGAGAGAGAGAGAGAGAGAGGAGGGACGGTAAAGAGGGGATAGGAGGAGAAGAGGGCATAGAGCAGCTGAATAGGAAGCGACACAATGGACCTGGGTGGCTGTGGAGGCGTGTTATCAAATGGGTTCCTCATTCACATACTGCGGCCTGAGCTACCTGTGTCTGTCTGTACCGGTGTCTGTCTGTTATACTTATTCATACCGCCCATTGTGTCCTCCACTGTTGAGTCGAGTTCAGTTCAGTTGAGAACGCGATGGAACGTGCCACAATGCACGAATATGGGCTGCGCCGCACCTCCCCCCCCTCCCTCCCCCACCTCTTTCTATAACACCCTTCCGCGCACCCCCTTGTCACCGTATCTCTTTCTCTCTCTTTGCCATTTGCCACCCACGGTCCAACCCGCGCGCGCGTTGGATTCGCCGGGGCCGACTGAAAAGAAAATTGCGTCGGGAAATTGTATCCGTGAGAAAACCCGACCGATAATGCCGAGTTCTTGAAGCGTACACGTCGCGAGATTTCTTCGCCCTGGCGGTGGCGGCGGCGGCAGTGGCGGCGGTGGCGACGGCGACGGCGACGGTGGTCGTCGAATCCTGCCGCCGAATGTCTCGTTAGACGAGCGCGCGAGTTTCCGCGGGGGAAATCGCACGATCGATGGCCCAATGTGAATCCCGTCCGGAATTCCGGGATGCACATGATATTTGCCGGCAATTTCAACGGGAAATTATCGTGATGCGATGGTTGTTAGAGGCGATAAAGCGAAGCTTATAAGATTGTGCGAACAAGGTCAACGTAAACCTTTCCATTAATTCAAGAATAATCTGATTTACCTCGATGCAACTTATCGCCCGAAGCGGGTTCCAATTTAAGAAAAAACAGTTATTGTTGTTTCGTACTTTACTCCCAATAAAGTATGAGATAACAGTAAAACTTATTTACAAAATTAAAAAGTTTCGCAAAGAAACATCTCTAAACTGATTTTATTTCTTCTGATAATGGAACGCTTAAAGGAGCAAAATCGCTAATTTCATTTTTAGAGAAAGCTTTTGAGAGGCAGCCGGTATAACGTGGGACGCTATCAAAGGACCTATGAAAGGGAAACCTGAATTACGGAACGAACAGCATTCTCTGCCGCGAGGGTATATACGTTGCCGAAAAACGACAAACGGGAAAGGGAATCTTGAGAAAGAGAAAAGGACGTGCACAGACTCGTGCGTTTCTTGTCGCGCGGCCGCGCGCGATGTGGAAAGAGAAAAGAGAGAACGTAATACGTATAACGCGTATAAGCGGCCATAGGGCTCTGGATGAGCCGCCCGCGGACGCAACGGCATACAAAACTCGCTCAATACGTCATTCAGCCGAAGAATACGCCTCGTTCTCGCCATTTTGCTCCCAGAATGAGAGTTTCAAAGGGAATTAAGGATTCAAAGGCATCTTTTGCGCGGCGCGCATAAAACGTCCAGCCGCCGCCGCGGCTCCGCGCGTCGCTCTGTCTCTCTCTCTCTCTCTCTCTTTCTCTCTCTCTCTCTCGCTGTCTCCCTCTCCCTCTTTCCCTGTCTCTTTCTTTCTTCTTATCTAACTTCCGTCTTTCCCTTTTCTCCTTCTATAACTCCTCGTAAGCGTCGCCTTCGTTTCTACAACGTTCTCAAGAGGAGCCGTGAATCGGTGAAGTGCTGAATCGCACGACGAGTCGCACCAGCAAGATACCCACAGAAGGATGCTAAATCGTCAAAGTACCTGATTCGTATTTCCCATGAGTATTTGCGACAAATGTGTCTAACAGATTTCCACGTCATATTGAATGCATACCTCACACGAAGCAAACAAAGCTCGAAATTAGACAAGGCCATATCTACTAGAGCGAAAGTTTTCGAACATATGCACGGGTTTTTCGATTAAAAAGAAAAAAAAAGATGTAGAAAACATCTAACAATGTGTACCTACGTGTTTTCATCTATCTCGATAATTTTTATAATTTAATATTCTAACAATTTCTCTCATAAATATTATAATTATAGATTATTTGGTGGCGAATAAATAAAATGACGTACCCCAATAGAATCCCCTAAGCGTTTACGTCATCGTTCAAATAGCCGGTCAATTCTCAGGCAGCCCCAAATCTGTCCACATTCTGACGAAAAGGAAAAAAAAAGGAATGGCCGGATCGCCCTTCATTTATTTGACGTAGAATACGGTCAAAAAATATGCTCCCCAGTCCCCCGCGCACATGCACTCTCGCAATCCCCTCCCTCCGCGAAGATGACCTTTTCCATTTACGGCGTTCGCGCGGAACAAATTCGGACGGTGATCACTGTTTGCGCTATAAGATAACAAAAGGAGGGGTGGCAGTCGTCCCGCCTGTCTAGGATTGCGCGATTAACATAAAAATGCGACGGCTCGTAAAAGGCCACCGTATACATACATATATTATGTGTATTATGTATCGCGGGAGGGTTATAGCTTCTGATTGTTATTCATATATGGTTGGTAGCCACGTCCGGCATTCGTGCCAAGTCCCCGAGTCAATATAATGTCAACACAGTGCAAATATAGGGATGAAAGGTATAGGCACATCGCTCGGCGTTATTTTTAACTTTCTTTTGCTCACTGACAATATGATGCAATGTCAAATTATTTAACAATATTGTTATATTATATTTTTTTTCTTAACATGTTTCTCGATAGATGCAGCTTTGTATTAATTTTAACATAATATACTATTAAACTTTTTAATTATCTTTATTTTGTTATTTTATTTATAATATAATTCTATTCAGTAAATTTCTTTTTACTAGAGTCCGCGTCATGTAAAGATAATTTATTCTTCTTTAAAAGAAAATTAATAATTATTCTTTCCGTAACCGTATATTAGATGTAACATGTGCAGAACACGTGCAAATAAATATGTTTACTCGAAGGATTGAAAGAATGGAAATGTCACTTACTTGGTTGCATCGCTGCAAAAGCCAAGAACCTGAAACAGAAATCAATTTTAATAAGAGCGAGAATTAAACGTAAAAATCAGTAAATATAATAAATGTCCTATATACATATATAATAAATGTTTCACCCGCATCAAAAATACAAATGAAGTGTTATCGGTCAATTCAGATTGCGACTTATTTCGATTCTCAATTTTCGCGCGATGTTTGATACAGCCTACACATTAGTTCGTAAAGAAACGGCTCCAGAAAAGCGGAGGAAATCGAGTCTCGTTCTCCATTCACCCTTCCCCCATCGCGACATCGGTATTCTTTTCGTCGGCTACACATCTGCGTTATATTCTTCTTTTTATATCCTCTCCTCTCTCGTGCGCGCGCGAAAACGCGCGACGCGATCGCGCATACACCCCCACAGTTTGAGCATTGCTGAGGCCTTATCGGCAGTTATCGGGCCGTGATGTCACACAATGGGGCAGACAATGCGCGGGACAATACACCCCCTGCTTCTAGAGACTATCCTCACCCGGGGCACCCACCCACCTATCCACCGTCGACTTCTCTCCTCTCTTGGAATCAGCACATCCCGCCAACTTAATAAACATAATAGCTGACTATGCCGCCCCGCGGTCACAATGAGAGCTCCGCGCAAAGAGATACCGAAGATACGAGGAACTGGCATTGTATGCCCCGCTCTCTCTGTCTCTTCTCACTCTCTCTCCTGTCCCGGCTGCCCCGTACGGATTATACGTTCGACGTGCCATCATGGATTTACCATTCACTAAAAAGCTCTACAAGAGAGAGAAAGAGAGAAAACGGGCGATAAAAGATGATGAGATTTACTTTTAGTCATTATTAGATCTAAGGTCCACTGAAGCAATGAGCTGATGCGAAATTTGCCAATAATACATTTTAATAATTTTCGTATTATCGTATTCGAGATATATTTATTTCACAAGCACTGTGATATTGATCACAAGATGATTTGTCTTAATTTTAAAATGCTCATTTTAATATGAATTAATTATTAAATTGAATTAATTAATAAACGATTAATTCATAAACAGGCTGTCAAGGTAAAACTCACCGAATGAGAACAAGAAGTAAAAGTTTTGAATTGCACGATGAATTTTCTTCCGATACGATTATTTCAGAGGGTGGATTGCCGCACGCATCATCGGATCGACTCCACGCCCTCGTGTATATACTCCCACTCTACTCGACCTACCGCGGGTTGCTCGAACCACCCTTTGCGGCTGAACAATATGTTTGCCCTCCCTACCGCCGTGTAATTACTCTAAACCACGTGCCGCCACGGAGCGGAGAGGGAGAGACGGAAAGAGACAGAGAACGCGTGAGAGCTGATGCACGAGCCATTGAAAAACGCAGTCGAGCGCCCATTATTCCGAGAACTTTTCACTTTAAGCGCATCCGATGCCACGCACGACGACGCGTGTGATCGTGCCCGAAATAATTCGCGATCGCCACAATCTTTCCCATCTAAAATCCGAAATATATCAAACTTAAAATGAAATAAAATGAAAATTCAAGTATATTAAGAAATTAAATTACTGCTAACTTCTCTAACTTTTTGAACGTGTACAGCTAAATATTCTCGAGCTAAAATGCCACTAATATAATAATATAGATTATTTAATATTATTTTTATAAAATATTTTCTGTTATTAATAAAAAATATATTTTTATATCATAATTATTTTTTCGTAATATGTTTAGTTAAACAAACATAAGAGCGCAGAATTCAGAATATACTTTATAATTACGCTGGTTGATATCGACAGGCAGATTTTCAACATCTTGCATCCCCGGTACCCAGCGCCGCGACACCGATCGTATCTTCGAAACAGTATCGGAGAAACGTTAATTAAGCGAGCAGATGCGCCGAGGAAATAGTAAATCATACAACCCCGTGCAAATAGAGACCGTTCGGCGCATTGAGCGTCGTATCGTCGCCGGGTTATCGGGATAATGATAAATCGTTCGTTCGAACGGACCCTTTCCAAGTCGCATTATAACTCGCTGAAGGGGTCGTGGAATATACCCTTGCTGGCACAAAGTGAACTCAAACAACGTGCTGTTTAAAGGGCTAAAAATTCTTATCAACTTAGATGCGGGCGGAGAGATTGCGACCGACTGTTACAAAGTCAAACGGATTTTTTTTCAGTACGGATTTTTTTTCAGAATACACACACCATCGAGGGCAATGCTACCTTCATATAAACAAAATGATCGATATTATAGAGTTGTTAAAAAAAAATTATTACGTCTTCACAAAAATTGTAACTCCTCTGCATTTTTTTTTAAATTTTATTTTCAATATTTTTTCGTAATATATGTATATGTATATTTTTAATGCAAGAGCTTGCAAAGTCCTTTCGTTTACTAATGCTGTAACAGCGCGATTTATGTCGCCAGCTTAAAGCCAAAATCGCGAAATTAATGCCAGCGGCGTATTAACGAGTAATTAACCACATCGGTCGATTCGATAGATAATCCGGAAGACGGCAGTAAAACAAGGTAACCTCGTGGGATTGGCGCCAGCGACGGTGGCGGCGGCGGATGACGGTGGTAGCGCGGTTGTGTAGCAGCGGTGGCGGTGCGGTAGTCGTTGGCGGAGGTGGTGGTTATAGTGACAGTGGTGGTGGCGTCGGAACCGCCCCAGCTTTGCAAGCCCGGCGAATGGAGTGACAATGCTGCCACGAGATTCACAGTTCTCTACCACCCCTTTTGTCTTTCCCCTCTTTACCCTCGGTCTCTCGCACGCGCTCTCGCCCCCTTTCATACCATTTGCAACTTTCCGGCCACCCTTCGTCTTTCCCCTGCCTTCCCCTCTCGCTCACCCTAACCGTATAGCGACAGCTCTCTTTCTACCTTCCTTTCCACGCCGCGGGTCTCTTTATCTCGTCTATGCGCCCGCCGTTGCATTCCCGTCGGGTGCATACTTCGAGGATTTGCCTCGCGAAGCGATTATCATCGTCAAACGCGCGGATCGAAACATTGTAGGCAAAACTCGTACAACGACATCGACTTCATTATGAAGATCGAGAGAGCTAAAGTATATATATATATTTTTACTCAATTAGCTTTTGAAAAATGCAGTTGCCGAATTTCAATTGAGTCTTTGTATCTTATCAAAAATTTAAAATAGAATCCCAGAAAAAATATATTTATTAAATAGTATACGATAATCTTACGAAATCTTTTCTTCTAATAATTAAAATTTTTCAGATGTCTCTCAAAACGTTTAAACGCGTTATTTTTTTTTCTTTAATTAGAAATAAGCAATTTGCTATAAAAAATCATGCAAGATGAAAAATTTATTATTCGCATTTGTACAGCAAGAAATAATCGCAAATAAATCTTACAATTAATTTGCGTAAATTCAAGCGACACTCACTTTAACGGAATTTCGATTTAAGGCTTAGTTACGCCCGGAGATATTCAATGCCGTAACGAGTCCCCGTGAGACGGTAGGAAATACGTACACGTGCTGCAAAGCGAGAGGAGGGGGTGGTGGGACGGGAAGCTCGCGTGCCGGTCGAGTGCGGAGACACGCGATCGAGTGAGACGCCGGACTGGAGGAGAGAGGGTGGCACACGCGCGTGAACCAAAGCATATCGAAAGAATTCACCGCTCTCCTATTTCACAAGAACGACGTCCGATGCGCGTCCGCCGTCGTACCCCCGCCGCCCACATCACCCACCCCCTTCCATCTTTCCGCTCTCATCGGCGACGTTTCCCGCCGCGCGGCATCCTCACCCTTCGCACCCCCGTCCCTTCCTCCCCCCCCCCTATCTCGCGCTCTCTCCCCGTATCAGATCGAGTCCCTCTATTTCGCGTCCTCTATTATTTCTTTTATCAATCTGCGCGCTTTCAGGACGCTTTGAGGCCCGCTGAAAGCTGCGCGATAAATCATGAAATGTAAGAACCCACACGTACGTGCTGGGGCGCACACATAGACGCAAAAACGTACATACGTACGCGTGTTAGCGGGTGCATCTACGTGGGCGTGCATCTGTGTGTATATGTGTGTGTGCGCGCGCGCGCGTACATACGCGCGGGCGAACGAACGAATGAACTGCGTTTTCGTGTAAACTGCTCCTTCGTATACACCGCGTACACGTATGTACGTGTGCACGCATACGAGTGCGCTCGCGCGCTCATATTCGCGTCTGCCTGTACAGAGATGCGCGTAATACATGTGTATGTGTACGTATATAACCGACGGTTCAATAGGCGGCATTGCCAGGGCGAACGCTATCCATACAGCCCGCCAGATGAGGTCTTCTAGCTTCCGTCGAGTCCGCGTGAAAGGATGCCCCAATAATATTCCATTCACCGAATCACCCACTCCCGCCCCCCTCCAACCCCGTTCAGTCCGCGCACACCCCCGCGCCGCCGATATATATACTCGTCATCCGTAGTCCGGCCCGACTCGTGCCCAACGTCACCCGCCATTGATTTTTCATTCCTGGGCTTTTCAATAGTTTGTTACGAGCTTTCCTACGATGACGCGCCCCATCCCCGTAATAACCTCCCTCGTTTTCTCCTTCGGCTTTCCTTCGACGCAAGGAAACCTTAGCTGGCGCTGGGACATGTCGCTTTATTAAAGGATGCGTCCATAGATCGTAGGACCATTCGCGCGGTGCACGTTCCCGAAATATTTTCTTTTCATAAAAACTAAACTATTTTTAAGATCATTATTGAGAATTGTAAATTGTAATATTAATAAACCATAAAAATAAAATATATCAATATTCGTGATGATCTTGGATATTGATCTGTTTACTTAAAATCATAAATTTGTAATTTCTAATTTGTTATCGATGTCTGTAACCATATAACTCTCTAATTAATTGATAACGATATATGTGTTTCTCTAAGATCAAGATAACAATATGTATGCTTTTCTAAGATTAAGACGAGAAAGCCATTAAGCATTTTCTAAATAAGCCTTAAAAGTGTTTTTCTCAATGGCAAAGTATTTCTCCATGACTCAATAGCCCTAAGAATTTTTCGACATTTCTCTATTTTTTATAAATAGAGGATCTTTGAATTACGACGGTAATTTGTCGAGTCCCTTACAAGTAAACACATCATGTAACAATAAGCGAGTAGTTGTATGAGAAATTATCGTGTAAAATTTGTCTAATAGAATTATTTTTATACAATAAAATAATTCTCGCGAGTCTTACATGTCGAGAGCATTTTCGCATGTTTATAATAATATCGAAAATTCAACTGACTGCTGCCGACTCTTCCTACCAACGAATTAACAATTGCCAAACATGACGTGGACTGGCGCCGGTTAGAAAAGTCCATCGGCACGAATTTCGCCGCCGCGAAACGGAGCGAAAATAACCTATAACTTTAATCAGGGATGAATAAAGGCAACCCTTTTCGGTACGGCGCTGCGTCAAGGCGAAGAATGGAGATGAGGATGTAGCCGAGTATCGGCATTGTTTCCAAACAAAGCACGCTTTTCATACCACCCCCTTCTCTCTCTCTCTCTCTCTCTCTCTCTCTCTCTCTCTCTCTCGCAACCCCCCCCCCGTACCTACGCTCGCGGCCCCCGTTCCTGGTCCCCACCCATAGATTCCGCCCGCACACTCTCCGCGGCGGTTCAGTCATTTGACACGCAAAGAAGTCTGGCAAGTTGGCATTGTGGCGACCGCGCCACGCCATCCTCGATCCATTGTTACCGCGCCACTACCAAAACCGCGAAACCGTCCGCCCTAAACCTCCTCAGCTTGCCGACTAAAAGTCAAACCTCTTTCACCACCCTCGTCAAATCGCGAATAATGACGAGTCGATCGCCCACACGCCGCGCGCCGTCTTTGAAGATCTTATAGTCATTCAAAAGGACGTTACGGGAATTGAACAAGTGCAATAGATAAGATCGTACGTTTAATGATTTGTTCACGAGAACGTTCGTCAAGCTAAAAATTAAATTATTAAATAGTTAAACCAATTCAAAATTATAAGAGTTTATTTCCTAATTTAAAAAACTCTTAAAAAAATTTAAAAAAATATTTTTAATTGTGACAAAGAAATATGTTAAATTGTGCTAAAACAACGCTGAAAATTTTGATACTAACATGATCTACTAAACATAACAATCTAGCAAATCCTACGCGAATTATCCGTGCTATAATTAGGGCGAATATAATACCTAATGGATACGTGAATAAAACAGTACACATAACTGACATAATATATGCATAGTGACACGATTAAATTAACTTCGCAGTGATAACTGATTAATTGACTATGACAAAGAGACTTCGTTCGAGCGCACATTTCCCTCTCTATGACTATGGTTATCCCCATAAAGTTCCCAGGCATTTGCCACGGGTGTTCATCATTAGCTCTGCGACAAACAAATTTTTTAAATGTTATGCAACTGTACGCGCATTTTTTTGTGCTTTTTATCGCACATAGAATAGAACGATATAACGCTTTGTCATTGTGATCAATACGTATATATCTATATGACGCGCTACAGCAGTATGCACACAAGAAATTTGTCTACGTACAATTCTTTGCTACTTGAAAATCGTTAAAATAATAATCTAATTATATGTGATGATTATTGTTAATTGCTCTAATTATTTTACAAAATTTCTTAAAATTTTCGCAATAATTATTCAAATGGTAAATTAATATTTTATAATCAATTTTTTGATAGGTTGTCTGCTTGCAAATTATTTAAGATATAAACAGATTTCTATCTTAATGTGTACTTTATATACTATTAAGAAATAAAATAATACATAACGAGTAAATTAATCTTCCTGCCACTTGCACGACTTAAGGATTTGCATTGCTGTTCTTGTACCATATCGTGATATCTAGGTTCCAATGTACTCCTGATTTGCAGCATAGCATCGTCATCATTCAGGTTCGTTTTCGCGTACGCAGCAGCGTCCCTTGTCGCGCGGGATACACACGAATTCAAGCACGACTCACGTGCGAACACAACGACCTCATCTCTCTACCCAATAGAAACGACGATTATGTCGTGTGTGCGTGCGAGTAGCATATAATGCAATAACGCGAATCAAACCTCGGGAGATGCTCGCGAAAGCATTACCCGTAATGTTATAATGCCGTGCCGAGCATGCGTGCACGTGTCACACGTGCGAACATTAATAAAGGACCGACGACGTCCGATATATCGACATCCGATGGATTCCTCGAGCGAACGAATTATCGGCAGTCCTATTATACGAGTTCTAATAATTTAATTCGTATTTCATTTTTGCTTCAATGACATGTTGTAACGAACGTATGAGATATACTCTCTTCTCTAATGAACCAATCACGCATAAAAATATAGAGATAATCTATCGTACAAAAGTGATTTATACGCACATATATAGTCTTTCTTCCAAGATTCAGGGAAATAAATTAATTAATACACCAGCAGATTCATACTGGATTGCAAAAGTAGATATGAGAAACTTTATTCGCAGCCACGCAGTCAAGAACGATTTTTGCCGAGAGTCGCCGGGCATTGAGCTATCGCGAGACAAATAATCGTCTGTCGACAGAGGAACCTGTTAAAAGTTGCTAACTCCCGTGACAGAATAGGGCGCCGCGCGTTGAAAGGATATAATAGACATGTACGTACGCGTGGAGGGTAGCGGAAGCTGCACCGTCCTCGTCCACATGAAGAGGGGTGGAGGGAGGGGAGGCTTGGAGAGATGCGTGCAGGGTAGGGAGAAGGATCATCGACGACCGGGATTTCAGGAGGAACGAGGACGACACGAGACCATACGAATATGTTATACGCTCAAGCTCGTTCGCTCGTAACCGCGCAGCAGAATAGACGAATTGTTCGGCAGCGGGGCTTTTGTCTATTTTACGGAGTTCCAAGGGCTTCCATTGAGGGACGGGAGGACGGGGAAGAGGCGTGGAGGAGAGGAAGAGCCGAAAGCTCGGAAATATATTCTCGACTGAACGTTGTACGGATTCGCGCACCGGGCGTTCCTAATTATTGTTTTCCAGACATCCGTCCTCCGCCTGGTTGCCGCGGTGACTGAAATTCCCGTTGTAAAAGTTTCCCCGTCGCTCACTCGCGAACAAGTGAGCGAGCGCAGCGAGTTATCGCGTCGCGAAGGGGATTCTGAATTCTTATGCTTTTTTCACGTGTGCTCTTCTCGTGTATTCTTGACGCGTTTCTCTGGACGTCACACAATACAAGAAAAAGCTTCCGTAATAGGACAATGTAAACTGATGAGTATTAATGTAAATGAGAAAAAGTCTACCTAATTTTGCATCGCATGTGGTAGTCGAATTGGTAATATCCATTAATTACGTGTGTAATTTTCTATTTCTTGCATTTGTTATAATTTATGTCATAAAATAAAATTGAAAAAAGGATTACATTTTAAGACCTTTAGAATTATTTTATAATTGATATTTAAAAAATAAAAATATAACATAAGTAAATATTGTGTTTTAAAGACAATTTATACTTTTTAATTTCAAAATAATTATATATTTAATATAATTAAAATAACATATCTTAAAAATAATTTTATATTAAATTTGATTTAATCTCGGAACCATAAATATTGTTTCATTATATTTTAAAATAATACATTTAAATATAAATATATAATTATAAGAAATAATTTCAAAAAGGGATAGTAAATTTTTGTTAAAATAATCTTGTGCTACATATTAAAACTACTATCTTCTTTTCGATATGGTCGATAAAAAAAAGCGAAAACGGGAATGCCAAGCAGATCGAGAGAATAGCGTGAGGCGTAAAGGCTGAGGATAGGAAAACGGGGTGGGGATAGGGGTTGATGGTGAGGCAGTCGTATCGGTTAAGTGGGGGAAATTGCAAAACAATGAGACGTCGAGGTAGGGGTAACAATGTGAGGGACAATAGGCCTGATAATGTGCCGGAGAATGGACGCCTAGACAAAAGAGTCAAATAAGGGCGCGCTCACCTACCCGATCCAGCATCCACGTTACATCGCCGTCTCGTTTCGCACCGTACGCACTATACGCGCACAAAGCAAGACCGCAAAAAAGACGCGTGCATATTTTTGAGTCGATTCAGTTGATTTTCAGTCGGGAGCACGGAAAATTTAGATAAATCTTCCAGTGAATGATAGCGACGTGAAATAATCTATATGACAGCGGCATTCTCGCTTATATGAAAAGTTTTTATTTTATGCAATTGCAATTATGCGAGAATATTGTTTCATCCACGATTTTCTGCACTTTTGATGTTCTACAATATATAGAATAATTATAGTTTATATTCTTATCATACATTTTAATTTAACCCTTCTATATTAAAAATTGAGAAAACTCTATATCTCCTTCTTAAAAAAGTCTTTTTAATATTTTTTCACATATTGTCTCTTTAATATTTTTTTACATATATTTCACATATTGTTTGAATAAAATATTGAAAAACTGAAAAGCATGTTTTTCTTTATGTTCCATGTATGTAAAAAATTTTTACCAAAATTTGCTAATAAGAAAAGATGAAAAAGAAATGCGAAGAAAGAGTAAGCATACAGATAAATATCCATTAAATATTTCACACAATATAAACAATCGTGCAAGAAACTACAGCAAAGGGAAGCAGGAATAACGTATGGAGCACATCCGTGTACCGGAGGCCAATGCCTGATATAACCTCACGTTCTGGCGGGATTGCGAATCAAGGGGTTGAATGTAAGAGCTCGAAGCCAACTCGAGATACAATCCGCTCGCTAGTTATGTGTTCAGCTACTTTAAGCTATAGCACGAATCTATGATATACATATACCTAATAATAATTGATGGATAGAATATGTAATTTAAAAATCTATTTAAACATTTTCGCACGAATCCATAAATTCAGCAAATTAAACAAAAAATCACGTTCTTTACAAATTATTTTTAACAATAAATAGAGATAGTTTATACAGAAATATATAAAAAGCAAAGTTTTTCTCTCTCTCGCTCCGCTTTAAATTTAATCATATAGCTATTTTAAAAAAAGCGAATAATACAAATCTTTTTAAAAATTTATTTCGTTCTCTGTTCACAAACTTTCTTCCGAAAATATTTCGATCCACGCTATTTTTAACAATTGAGCGCTGAACACATTGATGCATCATAAAGGGCAGAGAGCAAGGAAAAATGCGAATAAGAAAGTTATGAGAGTCAAAGTTTTCACATGTTTAACGACTCTTTGCTGCGGAAAATGTGCCTCCAGAGCGCGCGTATCTTCGCGAGCGAAAGACGGAACTCCGCAAAAAGTCGCAAGGAGAGAAACGAGAGATTCACAAGCAAGGACGCGAAGAAAAAGAGAGAAATAACGTGGTGTCGAGAAGAGAAGTGGTCGTGCAGGACGAGAATGTCACAAACAGTCCATAGAAATTCGCGACTGCAGAATGCAACCATCTCGCTACCGCGCACGCGTGCAACGAGCAGACGCCGTCATCGTCTTTTGGTACACGCGACTGTTATTTTAAGCCTCTCGCGACTCTTTTATACCTCTTGTATCTTACATGCGAGACTCTGTCATTCCGGCGGGGATGCATTCATTTCGATGAATGCCGTGCAAGGTCCTCACAATAGCCTTCTTATTCGCAACAGATACTGCGCCATAGTATACCGCGAAGTATAGTCGGGGCTGCTTTAGTTTTTGGTCTTAGCAGAATCGTCTTGGATAGCAAGTCGTCTCTCTCATTTAGTTACGTTGCGTGCAATGAATACTAAATTCTACTTTGAGGCTATATGAATGTTTGGTATTGAAACATTAAGAATGTCATCCGATTCAATGAATAATTATCGCGTATTCAGATATTTTTAGATTTGAAAAGAAACACTTAAAAGCATGAGTAAATTTTATAAACATGATTTAGTAGAGTATTTAATTAAAGAATTGTTAGAATGTATGTCTTTTCTTTTTTTTTTGCCTTTCGTCCCTTTAAACTTCTTTGCTTAATGTGTTCGCAAATCGCTAAACATAAAAAACTGTCTTTATCATTATAATCCTATATTTAATAAATATACTCTTCGTCCTTCATTATTTAAAGATGAATTGACGTACGGAACGATTATTTTCCAAACTAAATAAAATCAAATTAAGAAGAAATTCTTCCACAGCAACCGATTCCTACAACCAGGGTGGAACAACCCTTGTGTAGCTTAAGCAAAGTCGTCTTGCGAGGTCGCCACATCGCAGATTCGCCGTCCACCCCCGTTATCCGCTACCCCACCAGGTTCTTCACCGCCGGTGCCCTGTGCGCCTCGTCGTGGAAGTGCAGGGGATGAAAGGAGAACAAGAGAAGTACAGACAATGGATTCGGTTCGCGGCTGTGTTGGTGGCGCTGCATTGTCGCCCGGCATTGTTGCGGCCCGGTTATTGTGTCGCTGTTTTGTGACCGATCGCAAGGTGGCGTGTCTCGTGTGCGCGAAACCCCGTCCACGATCGTTAGGCACGTTCGCGATTATTCGGAAGAACGATCGTTCGACGATAAAACCGGCTTCGAAAGGCGCCCTTCTCTTCCCACCCCCCCCCGTCCTTTCCGCAGTGCGCGCGAACCAGGAAGGGAAGGAAAGTGGTGATCGCGAAGTTAGCGGTCGAAAACTTTTGTGACATTGACTTTACTCGAATTGACGAGACCATACGACAGAGTAAAAGTTAACGTCAATCGCTAGTGGTGTCTATCTCTTCTTAAGTCTCTGAAATTCGATGGTTATTCCTTTAATTTTTCGCCCTTCGATATTTTCTCTTGAAACATATTATACCTCAAAATTTGAGTTCGCGAAATTATTTAATTAAAATTTCGGAGTATAGGCATCACTCGTGATTCTTTCACGAATCGGTGTCGGGTCGACACTACTTTCTACTTCTACAGGATACGTAGTACAAAAACGTGCGTGCCCCAACTCACCCGGCATGACACCACAAAACTTTATTCACAAGTAGGAAAAACATATGAAGAAGAAGGAAAACGGGAGATGGAAACGAAAGAGCGAGAGAGAAAGAGAGAAACAACGAGAAAGCGAGAGAGAGAGAGAGAGAGAGAGAGAGAGAGAGAGAGAGAGAGAAGGGGAGAGGATTCTCTACTCATCCTCCCGTAGGTCTCATTGTGTTGGACGATTGTCTTAGAATAATGGCGGAGACTCACAATAGTGACTACAATGCTTGCTCGTTTAACAATGCGGTGACGTCACGCGGCGTCGTGTACGTGAATGTACCGGTACGGGCGCCCCGGCATCGTGTGCGTCGGTCTCTTTAGACTTCGTCTTTCTTCCTCTCTCTCTCTTTCTTCGCGATGCCCAGCCGCCACCTTTCTCCCGCTACCACTGCCAACCTCGTGCCTTCTCTTTTCCGCGATTCTTTACTTGGTTATTCATGGCGGGGACCACCCTCGTCCACCCACGGGTCAGCGGCAGCGGCGGCGGCCGGCGGCGGCGCCAATAATACCGGGGGAAGTCATTGACGGTAGCGTGAAAAAGGCCGACAAGTCACCCAGCTTTGTGGCGGCGAGTTATCATGATGGTCAAAGCAAGCAGCGCGAGACGCGAAATATGCAACAGATTCTACAATCGGGTCGCGAACGAGAAGAAACGATGTTCACATTCCAAAACCGTTCCTAATCCATTTCTAATCTATCGTCAGTAGTGAAAGCTAATGGCACATTTTTTTTATTTTCGGCAAACATTACGGATTAAAATAATTATTCATTACTTTAATTTCATAGGCTATTATAGTCACAATTAATTATTTATATTTAATATTCCGCAATACAATAAATTTACCCCTAAATACTCAAATAACTGTATCAGTTTAACTTTTTGATAAAAATTGAAAGATGTCAAGAATAATCAGCACCGAAATGTTGTTTCTCATTTACATCGATCAATTTTGACTTTTATTCCTGGGGTGATCGCACGAACCCTTCGCTCTAATCCTTCGCATCCCCCGCGCGATTGTGGATT